TCAATAAATTAAGAGTGTATCAGCACCGTCTGCTGCAACAACGCTGTGCTGGTCTGCCGTTCTCCTGTGGTCAGCTGTGCTGCACTGCCGTGCTCCTGCGGTCTGCCGTTCTGGTCTGCCGTTCTGGTCTGCCGTGCTCCTGTGGTCTGCCTTCCTGGTCTGCCGTGCTGCTGCCGTCTGTCGTGTTGCTGCGCTGTGCCGTGTAAGCAGATAAACCGGTCAGACCGATGAAGAAAACGAGAGTCGGGTTACAACGGCTACGCAGATTTAAACTGCTAGTCCAAAGGCTCTCCAGAGGACCCCAACATCTCCCAAGCACACCCCGAGAAGTCCATCATCATCATCATCATCCTCATCATCATCATCATCATCATCATCACCATCATCGTCACCATACTCATACTCATACTCATCATCATCATCCTCCTCCTCCTCATCATCATCATCATTATCATCATCGTACGCATCACCATCACCATCAGCAGCAACATGATCATCACCAACAACAGCAGCGTCAATGACATGATCTGGTCTGCTATGTTCCTATGGGCTGCCGTGCTGGTCTGCCGTGCTGGTCTGCCGTGCCGGACTGCCGTGCTGGTCTGCCGTGCCGGACTGCCGTGCTCGTCTGCCGTGTCGGTGTGTTGTGCTGGTCTGCCGTGCGGGTCTGCTGTTCTGGTCTGCCGTGCTGAAGCTGAAGCTTTGGGGGCTTAAAGCCAGAGAAAGAGAGAGACATAGAGAGATATAGAGGGAGAGAGATTCTCTAACTAAGGGGTACGGGCTCCATCCCGAAACTCGTTGGCGGTTCTCTAACTAAGGGGTACGGGCTCCATCCCGAAACTCGTTGGCGGATGACGGGAAGCGTCTTCGAGGTACGACAAGCAAGCGGGACGTTCTGGCTGAATCCTTGAGTAAATATATCTTTTCTTTAACTATATGGGTTGCCGCGCTGCACGGGATTTTTCGTTAACGGATTCCCAAAAATGGTCTGGCGTGCTCCTGTATGGTCTGCCGTGCTCTTGTGTGGTTTGCCGTGCTCCTGTGTGGTCTGCCGTGCTCCCGTGGGGTCTGCCGTGTCCTGTGTGGTCTGCCGTGCTCCTGTGTGGTCTGCCGTGCTCCTGTGTGGTCTGCCGTGCTCCTTCTAGGTCTGCCGTGCTCATGTGGGGTCTGCCGTGCTCCTGTGCGGTCTGCCGTGCGAACGTGTGGACTGCCGTGCTCATTTGGGGTCTGCCTTGCTCCTTTGTGTTTTGCCGCGCTCCTGTGTGGTCTGCCGTGCTCCTGTGGTTGTCTTGCTCCTTATGTGGTTGCATCCGTGCTCCTTTGGTCTGCTCTGCCGGTGCTCCTGTGGGGTCTGCCGTGCTCCTGTGGGGTCTGCCGTTCTCTTGTGGGGTCTGCCGTGCTCTTGTGTGGTCTGCCGTGCTCCTTTGTGGTCTGCCGTGCTCCTGTGTGGTCTGCCGTGCTCCTGTGTGGCCTGCCGTGCTCTTGTGTGGTCTGCCGTGCTCCTGTTGGTCTGCCGTGCTCTTCTATGGTCTGCCGTGCTCCTATGGAGTCTGCCGTGCTCCTGTGGCGTCTGCCGTGCTCATGTGTGGTCTGCCGTGCTCCTGCGCGGTCTGCCGTGCTCCTGTGGCGTCTGCCGTGCTCCTGTGTGGTCTGCCGTGCTCCTGTGGTCTGCCGTGCTCATTTGGGGTTTCCCGCCAGCTTGTGGGGTCTGCCGTGCTCCTGTGGGGGAAACGCCAGCGGCGTTCGGGGTACAACAAAAGGCGCGTATATGTTGTACCTGCGCGCGGTCTGCCGTGCTCCTGTGGGGATTGCCGTGCTCCTGTGTGGTCTGCCGTGCTCCTGTGTAGTTTGCCGTGCTCCTGTGGTTTGCCGTGCTCCTTTGTGGTTTGCCGTGCTCCTGTGGGGTCTGCCGTGCTCCTGTGGGGTCTGCCGTGCTCCTGTGAGGTCTGCGGTGCTCTTGTGTGGTCTGCAGTGCTTCTGTGGTCTGCCGTGCTCATTTGGGATCTGCCGTGCTCGTGTGGTGTCTGCCCTGCTCCTGCGGGATCTGCTGTGCTCCTTGTGTCGTCTCTTTGGTCTGCCGTGCTCGTGTGGGGTCTGCCGTGCTCCTGTGTGGTCTGCCGTGCTCCTGTGGTCTGCCGTGCTCCTTTGTGGTCTGCCGTGCTCCTGTGTGGTCTGCCGTGCTCCTGTGTGGCCTGCCGTGCTCTTGTGTGGTCTGCCGTGCTCCTGTCGGTCTGCCGTGCTCTTCTGTGGTCTGCCGTGCTCCTATGGTGGAAACGCCAGCGGCGTTCGGGGTACAACAAAGGCGCGTTTATGTTGCCACCTCGGCGCGTGATTAGGTCTGCCGTGCTCCTGTGGGGATTGCCGTGCTCCTGTGTGGTCTGCCGTGCTCCTGTGTGGTCTGCCGTGCTCCTGTTCTGCCGTGCTCCTGTGTGTTCCGCCGTGCTCCTGTGTGTTCTGCTGTGCTCAATGTTCTGCCGTGTTCCTGTGGGGTCTGCCGTGCTCCTGTGTGTTTTGCCGTGATCCTGTGCATTCTATGCGTGTGCGTGCGTGCGTTGAATTTGTGCACGTGTGTCCGTTCGAGGTGGTACGTGGCACTGCTGTGGTATGCCGTACTAAAAACGTGGAATATCTCATAAGCCCAGGGGACAAAAGGACGCTTCCCGTTCTTGTCCGGTCAGGTTTTTCGTTGGCGGATTCCCCGAAATGGCCATTTCGCTCGAGACATCCTCCAAAAATCGAGGTGTTGGAGGCTATGTTCGCAACATCATCTTGAAACCGAGAGGAGCACGGCAGACCAAGACGAGGAGCACGGCAGACCAGGCCCCAAGAGCGCCCTGAAGACGACGGAAAGGAGGACCAGGACGAGGAGCACGGCAGACCAAGACGAGGAGCACGGCAGACTATGCCCTAAGAGTGCCCTGAAGACGGCCGAACAATCATCAAACAAACAATGAGTCTAACGTCGTCTTGGAATCGTTTTTGAGGGCATCAGTACGGCCCCCCAAAAACAGAATCGGCCCAAAGATGACCCGCAGAGTGCCCTCAATACGGCCGAACATGAGGATTTCGCTGGGGACGTGTTCAATAGATTAAGAGTGTATCAGCACCGTCTGTTGCAACAGCGCTGTGCTGGTCTGCCGTTCTCCTGTGGTCAGCTGAGCTGGTCTGCCGTGCTCCTGCGGTCTGCCGTTCTGGTCTGCCGTTTTGGTCCGCCGTGCTCCTGTGGTCTGCCTTCCTGGTCTGCCGTGCTGCTGCCGTCTGTCGTGTTGCTGCGCTGTGCCGTGTTAGCTGATAAACCGGTCAGACCGATGAAAAAAACGAGAGTCGGGTTACAACGGCTACGCAGATTTAAACTGCTAGTCCAAAGGCTCTCCAGAGGACCCCAACATCTCCCAAGCACACCCCGAGAAGTCCATCATCATCATCATCATCATCATCATCATCATCATCATCATCAGGACGGCCTCGAGACGGCCTCCAGACGAACTCGAGGATGACGGGAAGCGCCTCCGGCGTGCACCGTTGGTTCTGGGGCTTAATTTTCTCTAACTAAGGGGTACGGGCCCGCACTTCGGAACTCGCTGGCGGCGGCCTGCGGCAGCAGAGGGACGCGGGCACCCCGAGCCAGCCGGCACGGGTCCTCTGTCGTCGTCGTCGTCGTCGTCGTCGTCGTCGTCGTCGTCGTCGTCGTCGTCGTCTCGTCAATAACGATCTCGAAAATTACGACAAAAAACGATGACAGAAAACGACCACAAACATAACACAAAAACCAACCGAACACGGAATCCAACAACAAAAAAACAATCAGAAAAACGACCGCAATCATAAAATGATAACGACGGCGACAGCGAGAACGGCAACAGCGGACGATTATAATGAAAACGACGACCACGACAAAGGAAAGGCACGCGACGACGACGACGGACAAACAAAAGACAAGACAACTGGAACAGAAAAAGTAGGCTGGGCGACAACGGGTGGGGGCCCGCGTGGCCGAGAGAAAAGCACGGTGTCGACACCATGATGTGGCCAGGGCAGCAGACTACCTCGACAGACCAGCGCGGCAGGCCATCATTTAGTCTGTTCTGTTGCGTTTATGGGTTTCTCTGACGTTCTCGCCAATACGGTCTCTGACGCACGTGGTGGATAAAAACGGCGCTTCCCGTTTTTGTCCGGTCAGGTTTTTGAAAAATGGCCGTTTCGCTCGAGACATCCTCCAAAACTCGGCCCAAGAGGGGACTCCGCATCGACGTCGTGTTCGAATCGCTCTTGGAGGGCTTTCCAACGGCCCAAGGGAGGCCCAAAAGACGCCCCGGAGAGCCCCAGGAGCCCCTAGGGGCGCCCCAAGAAGACCCCAAGAGACCCCCAAGAGCGCTCTAGGAGCCACCCAGATAGCTCACAAGAACCCCAAGACGGCCCGAGAAGGGCCAAGAAGGCCCCAAGAGACTCCCGGGAGCGCCCCAGGAGGCCCCCAGCGCCGAGACGGCCTAAGAAAGCTCCCACAGAACCCCACGACGCGCCCAGACAGCCCCAGAAGCCCCCAACAGGCCCTAAGAGAACCCCGCGCGGCGCCAGGAGCAACGTCTTTTCCCAATTGCCTCGTACTGTCCTCTGTCGTCGTCGTCGTCATCATCGCCCTCCGCATTCCTCCTCGTACTCGCCCTCGTTCTCCTCGTCCTTGTGCTTCTCTTCCTCCTCGTTGTCCTCATGCTCCTCCTCGCTATCCTCACGTTCGCCACGTCGTCCTCGTCATCGACTCCTCGTTGTCCTCGCCTTCCTTCTCTTCTTCGCCCAATACGCCCATTAGACTACAGACGCGCTTCCCGTTCTTGTCCGATCAGGTTACGCCTGTGGCTATGTGGCCCCCGTCTGCCTACCGGAAGAAGAGGGAAGAGGAGGAAGAAAGCAGGATGAGAAGGAGGGCGAGGACGAGTGACCACGACAAGGGAGGAGGGCGAGGAGGAGGAGGAGGAGGGAAGCGGAGGAGGCGGGGAGCAAATGGCAAGCCCCCGGCCGCCCCCGAGCATGACTTCCCCACTCCTGTGCCACTCGGGGGCGGAAAAGAGGGGGGTGATGACTAGGGGGGGGTGGATATCATGGCGCGGGCCATGATATCTCCGCAGATTTCATGGCGCCTCTTCTTATTCCATTACGCCCCTGGCCCCCCCGCTGGGCCGCGCACATGCCGCCGGTCATGATTTGCACCCCCCCCTCTTGGACACCCCCCTCTTGGCCGCTCCTGTGCCACAGCTCCTGCCGTCCTGCTGCTGGCGCACCTTTGCACGTCAGGCTAGCCCACGGGGCTGCTGCCTGCGCCGCCTGTGCTGCGCAGTTTTTGCACGTCACGAGCTGCCCCACGGCGCCGTCGCCTGCGCTGCTGGCCTCGCTAACGCAGGCTGCGGCATGAGGTCGGCGTCGATAGCAAGAACGAAAGGGCAACCGGTGCGCCCCTTCTGCGCGTCAAGGCGGCGCCCTCGCGCGGACCGGAGCAGAGAGTGTCACCAACGGCTTGCTTGCGAGCTGACGCCACGGGGTGACTCATACGAAGTGTCCCCTGACTCAACTTCTCGCGCGAGCTCGAGCAGTTATATGGCTAGCTGTATTATTGGAACGAGTAGACTGGTATATTATTAGATCCATCGCTAGGTCGATATACATGCTGATCGTGAGGCCAGCAGATAGAGAGGTACAATATAGCTTGCTAGTGTGACTGGTAGATACGGAGGTCGGCAGACAAGTACTGAGGTCGCGAACCCGATCCGACGCCAACCTCAGACCGACAGTTGCACCCATTCGCCCCCCAACCTCCTTATCACCCGATGAGTGGTCTACGCGGTGTACATGTGGGCCCGTGGCTTCGTCCACACGGAAAACAAGGTTCACATAAAAAGAAGTGAGACCCAGTAAGTTCTCGCACATCTGTAATGGGATCAAGCCATGTCCTTGCAATTCGATGCGATGGGGGATATGTGTGAATAAATTCCAGAATCAGTTAGCTACCCGCCCGTACGGTCCCACCCATAAGATCCTACACCGTCGCCGTCGCCCACGGGTCCCTCCCGCCCATGGGGACCCGCGACCCGTGCATTGCACCCCACATGGCGCGCTCCAGAAGGTTCATCGTCTTCAGCGGTTCTCGCCCTGGAAGGGAGCCGTCACAAGCAAGACGGTGGCGCGTCCGCTGGCGGAAGGAGGCGAAAGTAAAGATTGTACACCAACATGTTTTTCCCCAAACAGTGCTTGCATTGTTTGAGGTGCTGACATGTTTTACTAAGGAATAGGGCGGGTAACCCGAGGATTTTTCCCCACATCCAAAGTGGGGTTCTTGTTTTCTCTGCACACCCCCGCGCAGGAGAGAGATCTCACTCACCCCCTCTTCTCCTCGCACTCATTCACACACACATCATCATCACTCGCACTCTCTCACACGCTCACGAACATCATCGTCATCATCGGTATCGGCATCATCCTCATTCAAACATCATCATCGCCACCACCACCCACAATCAATCATCATCCTTTTCACCACTCATCTTCACCACCACTCATCATCCTCATCCTCATCATCGTTGAGTAAAGTGTGAGGAAGTCTCAGGCGGGAGCCCCCTCCCTATGGGGCCCGCAGATCATGTTGGTAATCCGAGCGGGTCATCGGAACCCTGTAACTGTCGTCACTTTTGGGCTCCCCAGGCCTGAAAATGGAGGAAGTCTCAGGCGGGAGCCTCGTCTGTGAGTGAATTGGGAGGAAGTCTCAGGCGGGAGCTCCCTCCCTATGGGGCCCGCAGATTATGTTGGTAATCCGAGCGGGTCATCGGAACCCTGTAACTGTCGTCACTTTTGGGCTCCTCAAGCCTGAATATGGAGGAAGTCTCAGGCGGGAGCCTCGTCTGTGAGTGAATACTGAGGGAAGACTCAGGCGGGAGCCCCCTCCCTATGGGGCCCGCGGATCATGTTGGTAATCCGAGCGGTCATATCGGAACCCTTAACTGTCGTCACTTTTGCTCGTCACCTGAATTTTGAGGAATCTCTGGGAGCTCGTCTTGGTGAATGTGAAGAGTATCAGCGGGAACCCCCTCCCTATGTGGGCTCCTCAAGAACCCTGTAACTTCGTCCTTGGGCTCGTCAAGCTTGAATTTGGAGGAAGTCTCAGGCGGGAGCCTCCGTCTGTGAGTGAATGCTGAGGAAGTCTCAGGCGGGAGCCCCCTCCCTATGGGGCCCGCAGATCATGTTGGTAATCCGAGCGGGTCATCGGAACCCTGTAACTGTCGTCACTTTTGGGCTCGTCAAGCCTGAATTTGGAGGAAGTCTCTGGCGGGAGCCTCGTCTTTGAGTGAATTGTGAAGAAGTCTCAGGCGGGAGCCCCCTCCCTATGGGGCCCGCAGATCATGTTGGTAATCCGAGCGGGTCATCGGAACCCTGTAACTGTCGTCACTTTTGGGCTCCTCAAGCCTGAATATGGAGGAAGTCTCAGGCGGGAGCCTCGTCTGTGAGTGAACTGCGAGGAAGTCTCAGGCGGGAGCCCCCTCCCTATGGGGCCCGCAGATCATGTTGGTAATCCGAGCAGGTCATCCAAAACCTGTAACTGTCGTCAATGTTGGGTTCTCGCGCTGCCAGAACGCAGTTCCCAGGCCACACTTTGGATGCAACAAGGAAGTTTTTGGGCTCCTCAGGTCGCCGAGGTGCTGCGACAGGGCGCCGAAGGCGCCGACGACGACGGCCAGGCCGAGGCGCGGGCGCGGAGCTTGCTGATGTTCAGGCCCAGCGAAAGGGAGTTCACATGGCAGAGCTCGGGGGCGCACAGCGTGCGCCGCTCGGGGTTCACCCTGACGCACGCGTCCTACCTGACCTCCACGCTGTCGCAGGGCCAGACGCTGCGCAAGGGCGTCACCATCGACTGCGCGAGAGACGAGGACGCTGGCCGCACGGGCATGTCGGACGAGCAGTGGTGGCTGCACCTCTACGTCATGTTCTCCCGCGCCACGTGCATGCGGAACATGCTGATCCTGCGGCCGCCGCCGCGAGAGTTCCTGGAGTGCGGGCCGCCGGCGTCCCTGCGGAAGGCGCTCCTGGAGTTCGACAAGAGAACGGTTTTGTCCAGGGCGGAGGCGAAGCAGCTCGCGGCAGAGCTGGGCTTCGTGCTGCCTTCCGCCTGAGCGCGGCTGCGCCTCGCTCGAAGCCCGCGGGGTTGTCCCAACGGCTTGGTCTTGCGCGCCAACGGCTCGCGGGGTTGTCCCGACAGCCTGGCCCGCGGGGTTGTCCCAACGGCTGCGCGACGTGACCAGTAGAGAACGCGCCTGTGCTGGCCGTGGCGGCGACGGCGCCGAGGAACATCGACATGCGCGCTCATGCAACAGGAAGGGGAGGAGGTGGCGGGGCGCGGAACAAACAGGGGGGCGAGGATGGGGACAACGTAAGGAGTGGAAGGGGGGCCCGCGCCAAGGCGAGAGGAAATATACGCAGAAGAGACAGCCAGGACGCCTCACCAACCACGAGGACGACGGTGATGGCTTTTTCCAGATTCGCCCAGAGGATTCTTATGTGGGGTTCTTCCGTCGGAGTAATTTGGGTGGCCGTCCCATGGCCGCCCGTGGCCGCCCAACGTAGATTGTATCACATATCTTGCGCCGCCGCATAGCTTGCACCGCCTAGCGTGCACCACGTAGATTGCACCACAGAACTTGCAGCACATAGCTTGCACCATACAGCTTGCACCTCCTAGCTTGCACCACATTCCTTACGCCACGTGGCTGCATCGTGGCCTCCTCGTGCGCTTGGTGTGTCCGGCGAAGGTTAGCGATGTTTGCGCCTCTGGCCGCGTCGTGGCCGCCTCGTCCGCCCGTGGCCGCTTGGCGGCCGCCTCATGCGTGGGGTGGGTCTGGCGAGGTTTCGCCACGTTGCCGTCCTTGGTCGCTGCTACCTTGCACCTCGTATACTGCACCGCATATGGAGGTTTCGCCGCGTCGCCGCCCCTGGCTCACACAACACGGCTTACACCGCATAGTTCACACTACACCGTTTGCACCACATAGGCTACACCGGGCAGCGTACGCCACGTAGATCTCGCCACATGGCTTACACGACATAGATAGTACCACGTAGGTTACACCGTATACATGTCATCTCCACAGTTCAATAACGCCTCGTTGCCGCAATGTTGCCACCCGTGGCTGCTTCGTTGCCACCTCGTTGCCGCCTTGTGCGCCGTGTGACTCTGTCGAGGGTTCGCCACGTTGCCGCCACGTGGCCGCGACAAACAGGAGGGGTGGGGGTGGATTCATTTGGTTAATTCGGATTTGGAGGTTATATTTGCTTGCACTCGGACGAGTCACTGGTCTGGCACATGTGCAGGAGCTGACGGGGCCAGCGGATTTGCAAGGGAACCCCCCAATGACAAAGCGAATGACGGCCCATGCGCATGCCAACGCTGGTTTTGGCCCCGGATATGCTTGGGTCAACCCGCCATGACGGCCCCTTGGCGGGGGCAGTGGTTTTGCAAATTGTGACGACGTCTGAGTGAGAGCCGCCCTCCAAACTTCACATGCTGCCTGCCTCTTCCTCCCATCGGAGCATCCCCTGCCGCCCAGCTGCCAGCTCGACGAGAAGAGGCACCTGTAGGGGGCGCCCGCAGAGTGGAGATCTCAACCACCTAATCGGATTCGCGGATCGGGAGCAATCCGAAGAAATCACGTAGCCCAGGACCAGAGGCAGGGGCGTGGGGTGACGCTCCGAAGCCACGACCCCCCCACCTTAAAATCGGGATGGCAGGGGGTGCCGGCCCTGCTCCCTCCGATCGGCGACGGCCCCCCCCCACCGGCCCCCTCCTCCCGATTTCGAGCCTCCCTCACGCAACTTACGCGACTCACGTTGCACATCTGAGCTTCGTTCACAAACAGTGCTTGCACTCAGGGGACCTTGCTTGCCTTACAGTCGGGGCGCTGAAGAAGGAACCCTTCTCGTTGGCGAGGGGCTCGGTGTTCCTTGATTGTTTTACAGTTTGCGTTGGGTTTTCCATGGAAAATCGAAGTTTAACTTATGGGAAAAAGGGGCTTCGTTCCTTACTTAGGGTTCCTTAGCTCAACGCCCCGACTGCACTAAGAATTCGGAACGGGCCTAGCGAGGTTTTGCATCGTTGCTGCCCGCGGCCGCCTCGTGGCCGCCTGTCGCGCACGTGTGGGCCCGGCGAGGCTCCACGCTGCCCCCCCCGCGGCGGCCTCGTGGCCGCCTCGTGTGCTGGGCGGGCCCGGCGAGGTCTCGCCACGCTGCCGCGCGGTGCCGCTCTGTGGTTGCCTTGTGCGCCGGGTGGGCCCCGCGAGGCTTGGCCGCGGCGCCGCCTGTGGCCGCCTCGTGGCCGCCTTGTCTGTTGGGTGGGTCCATTAGGAGGAGGAGGAGGAGGAGGAGGAGGAGGAGGAGGAGGAGTGAGAGGAGGAGGAGGTACGGAGGAGGAGGTCGAGGAGGAGGAGGAGGAGGAGGAGGATGAGGATGAGGATGAGGACGAGGAAGAGGAGGAGGAGGAGGAGGACGAGGAGGAGGAGGAGGAGGAGGCAGAGGAGGTGGAGGAGTAGGCCGCGTTGTGCGCTGGGTGGGTCTGGCGAGGTGTCGCCACGCTGCTGTCCGTGGCTGGCTGCCTCGTGGCCGCCTGGTCCGTCGGTTGGGCCCAGCGAAGTGTCGCCAAGTTGCCGCCCAGGGCCGCTTCGTGGCCGCCTCCAGCATGCACCACGTATACTGCACCACATAGCTTGCACCACATAGCCTGCATCTCCGCAGTGCAGTAGTGCAACGTTTGGGGCCCAAGATGGCTAACGTGATCCCGTGTTTCCGGAGCCCGACACAATGTGTTGCACCCCGTAGGCATTACCACAAAAGTCTCACCTCATCGGTTGCATCCCGAAAATTGCGCCGCATAGTCGCGGCCACTGCATGTTCACCATGTTAGCCCTGTGGGCTGTTCCCTGTATATCTCAGTATTTTGTTGCCCACAAGATGTTTCCCACAGGCTACGATCCGTAATTTACATTCAGTTGCATCACAGCAGTTGCGCCCCGTCAGTTGCACCGCACAGGCTGCGGCTTGCCAGTTACATGGGTTGTACCGAATGCGTAAGCCGCACTCCATAATCAGCACCGTTTCATAACATCACATAAGTTAGTTCTGTGAAATCAGAACGGTCCATAGTTTGGGATACACGTGATGATGCCCTCTGAGCAGGGCGTACGCGCGCGTTTAGCATTGCGATTAGCAGTTGGCACCGCTGGCTTGCAAAGTAGCGTAATTGCGTTGCCCTCATTGCGTTTCACCGTCCTTTCTATCCTCGTCTTCATCTTCCTTCAGTGTATGGTCAAATTCTTTGCCGCGACCGTTGCTTTAGAGGTCGCATGACTTCTCTTACCCAGTATCTCTGCGTTCGGAACTACGTGCTTGTTGTCGCCTGCACTTGCTTAGCATCGTCTGCCCGAAGAGGTTGATAAGTTGGCAGAGGTAGTCCGGAATGCAGCGCGCATTTCCTTTATTAGCACCCAAATGGCCCTTTGGAGGGATAGGTAAGTTAGTTAGTTCGCTGGTAGGACTCCTGACCTTTTCTGGGCACGCTCGACGTCCATCTGTGCTGCTCCATGCGTTCCTTTTGAGCGCTGCTAAGGCGTACAGCACAACTGGGCAGGCCAGGCGTGATGCTCGGCAGCATCTGTCTAGCAACCGACACGGTCACAATGCCCGCGAATCCGTAACTCCCCCCCCTCCGCCTCCCTCCTCCTCCTCCTCCTCCTCCTCCTCCTCCTCCTCCTCCTCCTCCTCCTCCTCCTCCTCCTCCTCCTCCTCCCCCCCCCTCCCCTCCTCCTCCCCCCCTCCTCCTCCTTCTCCTCCTCCTCCTCCTCCTCCTTCTCCTCCTCCTCCTCTTCTCCTCCTCCTCCTCCTCCGCCTCCTCCTCCTCCTCCGCCTCCTCCTCCTCCTGCGCCCGCCCGGAAGCACGCCAGCAGCGGCGCGGCGGTGTTGGCGGGCATGTTTTGGGGCCTCGGCAGGCTCCGCGGCGCCTGCGCGCGTTCGGAAAAGGTTTGCCTGGTCTCCCTGCCCTTGCAGGAAGAAGGGAAGGAGGTGGGGGGGGAGGGGAGCGAGGAGGGGGGAAGGGGGAGGGAGGAGAGAGACAGGAGGAGGAGGAAGAGGAGGAGGAAGAGGAGGAAGTGGAGAGATGAGAGGAAGAGGACGAAGAGGACGACGAGGAGGAGGAGGAGGAGGAGAAGGAGGAGGAGGAGGGGGAGGGGGGGGAGGAATATGAGGGAGGGAGGAGGAGGGGGAGGATAGAGATAGATGAGGAGGAGGAGGAGGGAGTTGTAGGATATAGGAAAAAAGAGGAAGAGAAAGAGGAGAGAGGAGGAGGATAGAGGAGAAGGAGGAGGAGGAGGACCAGTGTAAACCCAAGAGTCATCAACGATGTTGGAATAAGCCCTCCCTCCAAGCTCACCCTTTATAGGCCTCTACGACGGTCCATTTCCACTGAGGAAACTGCC